GAAGAATATCTCTTTGGATTTGAGACTTTAGTCTTTGCAACTTTACAGATCTTCTTTATGCACCAAGAGCTTGTAACACTCCAAAGAGAAAGGAAAACTTGAAATCGCATCAAATGACCCCTTTAAGAACCAATAGCACAGAACCAAGTCTCAATCCTATGGTTTTTTTTTTCTGTCTTGATAATCCATTTCACTTGGCTATGTGTCACAATACGGAAGAAAAGATCCGTTGCAACTTCTCAGCTTAAAAAAAAGAAAAGAAAATAAGACTATGTACATGTCTCAATGCCCATTCGCAGTCATGTAAACATGCAACCTAACTAGTAATACACACTTCTGTATTCCCAATTAGTTGACTCATTTTTTTTTTCTATACAATGAAAATCAATGCATTCTACTGTTTTTTTTAACCCAAAAATTCTTTAAAATATGACAGAAATGCATGCAAGTTTAAAACAACAACATGAGGGTGAGTACAATCACAGAGTAATGCTTTGGTGAGCATGTTACTTACAATGAAAGTTCACAAATCCAACTCTGAGAAGTGTTGACCTCAGTATAAAGTAGTCTAGCTCTGATGAAGATCAGCCGCAGAGGCTTTCATGTGGGTAAAAGAAACTTTCGAAATAACTCGGTTATAATGTTCTTGTAGCCTTTATCATTAGTAAGATGCATTCATTTCACGATGATCTCAGCTGCGAGTGGGAACAGAGAATGTCAGAGCGGAGTGTTCTGAAGGCCTACTGACCTCACAGTTATAGATGTGTTCTGTTTAATTGGCCAGGTGAGAGGCATCCGCTCACTTGCACCAGCTTCCTGGGAAAAAGACAGCAGGAGTTCGGAAAGCTCTGAAATTAAACTTGACTGTCAGCCTAATTGGTTCCCTTCCTGTATTGTGCTGTTTGTGTCCTTTCGAGTTGAAGTAGGCTGCCTCACCGCTGATGCTCTGGAGAGAGAGGCTGTGCTAATGAGATGCTTTTGAAATGTTGTTGAATAAAACCCTCAGCCTGTTGTTTGTATTATGAGTAAATACAACTAATATGCCAGCGAATTTGAGTTCAGTCTCAATTTAGGCTCTTTGTTTTGCCATGACTTTGTTTTTGAGCTTTTCTCAGTAGTACAACCCTAGAGTATACTTATCTCTGTTTTGTGTTTTTCCTCTGTTGAAAAGACTGGCTCAGGCCAACATAAATTTCCATGCTGGACTGGTGCTGGTCTAACTGCATGGGGACCCGTATAGCTGTGGTGTCAACTGTTCTTCCATCATTTACCCTCGTGTCATTCCAAACCTTTATGTAGAACACAAAAGATGATGTTTACAAATTCATGGCACACAAATCTACCCCATACAATGAAAGTGAAGTGGAAATAGGTCTGCTGAGCTTCGAAAATGACAAAAAGGCAGTAGTTTAGGTCAACATTTAAGGTATTATTTATGCTTACTGAAAATCAGTGTTGTGAAAACTAGTCAAAAAATATACCAAGCTAAGTTACATACAATGCTGTTCAAAGTTTGGGGTAGTAAAAATTTTTTATTGATCATATATAAATATATAGGCAATATAAAAATCCTGGCCAGGACATATGGTCACCTTACACATATAAAATATTAAGAGAAATTAAATGAACTAAAATGACTATGACAACATGCAAACCTATTAAAGTCCTATATACATACAAATCATTATTACATATAGAGTGGCTAAAACATGCCTTATTGCAATGCTGCAATTTTTCTATATGTTCTTCTAAACATTTCCTTTTGTGTTCCATGAAAAAAAGTGATACTTTAGAATAACAGGTTTACGATGAGTAAATAATATTCATTTTTGAGTTAAATATCCCTTTCTGAAACTTACCTTGATCTTTTCAGCAATGTCTGTAAGCATAACGTGTTGCTTTGTGTATCTGTCTGAACTGACATGTCCTCATTCTTTTGTGTAACAGTATTGGGTGGTCTGGAGTCTCGCGGTGTCCTGAGGAAGATCAGTGATATGTTGGAGATAATCATGAAGAGGATCGACACCCTGTCAAAAATGAGCAACAGCAGCGAGTCCCACAGGCTGGAGGAGTTGAGCTCTGCTCTCCACAGGTGCAGCTTCACATTCATGATTACAGCACAGCAGTAACATTCTACAAGTCAGGTGTCACTTGCTGCCGTCAAGTCACCTAGGGATAATCGTGTTTACAAGATGAGCGCACACGAACGGCACCACAATGTTTTAATTGCAAGTTATCTCCATGTTTATCTTTGTGCTGTTAGCGCATGGTTCCATCATGGCTTTGAGGACAAAGTAATCAATCTGTGAAACTAAAATGTAAAAAAAAAAGAGATTTTGAAGATGCTCATAAACAATGTTTTAATTTTAAGAATTTTACTTTATACACTAGGCCTGGGCGATAAAACGGTATCGATATTTATCGACGGTACACCTTCTTCGATAACGATATAAAAAATGTTCGATATAGCGCATAATATAGGCACGTGCTATGAGTGACGCAGACAGCACACACAAACACACAGGGGTGGATTTAGTGAATTGGGGGCCCCACACTGTAGTCGTGGTAATAAACACCGTAAACAGCAAACGTTCACGTGTCCGCGCTTAATGCGCATATCCTATATGAAAAGCATTTTAGGGGGCCCTTGGCTTTTGGGGGCCCAAGGCGGTCGCCTACCTTTGCCTAATGTGTAAGGCCGCCTCTGCAAACACGAACATGAGTGCTGTGCCTGCCTGTGATGAGGAGATTGTGAATAAAAAAATTTAAAATAAACATTTGCATTTGAATGCAAAAATAGTACAATCGAATGTTAGGTGTACGCAGGGCTCGAATTGAGGGGGGATGCGGGGGGATCCCCCTGGTTGAAAAAAATTACAAAAAGCATCCCCCCTAACCATCCCCTTTAGATTAATAATGTTGTGTATTATGTAAAATTTATCGTGCAAATTAAATGTTAAAATTCTCTACTTATGATAATTCACGAACTAAATAACGGCGATTGGCCAATCAGAACTCGGTACTGTAACAAGCTGCCACAAGCTGAAGCAAGTTTCCGTCAATTTTCGTGCAAATTGGTTCAAGCGCAACTTTTGAAGTTCTTTAAAAAGAAGACAACAGAAGGTGTGATTTTTCCTTGATTAGAATTTAAAGACATTCTCCTGACATAATGTCATTGTGCTGTATGTGTGACTGTGAGGGACTGAGAGACAATAGGAGAGCTGACGAGTATGTCACCGACTTAGCAAAAAACAAACAAAAACACATCTTGAGAGTCCAGAAGCATTCACTCACTGCGCCATGAAGCCCATTAGAATGCAGTTAGAATGCCCTTATAATTCAAGCAATGAAAGAAAAAATACCCATGTATGAGTTTTTATGTTTTTATATTCATTGCACAATCAATGTACTTTTCTGAATATCAGCACATAAATAAGCTAATAATTTTATACAACAGTGTAGAGC